AAAGCGCCCCAACGGGTGCAGCCCCCAACACCAACGACCCGTGGGGGGGCCCCAAAATAGCCCCCCCAGAGACTCCCCGACTCCTGGAGCCACCGGAGAAGGGAACCAACTTGAATGAGTTAACCCACTCAGTGCTTATCCAAGTTCCTCGTTAACTTGTTAGCCATTAATAGTCAAGTTAATTTGGGTTAAGGAGCTGGCCGAGCTAACAAACTCATCAGCCACAAAACTTTAACTTAATCAGTCATTTACTTCAACTGAATCAGATCTTATGCATTAAGAATGTTTTTAATATAACTAATCAGTCAGGTAAGTAACCTAACTAGATACCTGCTCAGATAATCAGATAACGAATCAAATTAGTTATCGATTCTACCAGGAAAATTTAACCAGTCTGAGAGCAAAACCAAAACCAGCCTATTTAAAAAAAAAAAATTAAAAATCAGTTAAAAATCAAGCTAATTGAAATAACTGAAAATGTAATTAAATTGATTTTTCATGACTAGCAAATTAGATATCTCCAATTCCTTAAAACCTAAAAGCAACTGAAGCCCCTCAAACCAAGCAGTCCGCTAATTAACACAGTAACTAATCAGATAACATAACTATTCGGTTAAAAACAAAAATTAACCAAAATTAACACACTACTCAGTCAATTCCTTCAGTAGTTGGCCAACTAATAACTAATGAGATCATTTTTAAAAATCAATAACTAATTGATCAGAATAATTAGCCCGCAGGCTAACTTCAGTTCTTTCTCAATAATGAGTTAATCGGTTTAATTAATTATCTATCTTCATATTCATTAAAAACACATTTAAGGTGCCGCAGGGCCTCGCTGATAAGGTGCACAGGCGACCTTTTCAGTCAATAAATAAATTTGTTCAGTTATCTGAGTTGCCCCAAATCACTGTTTTTAAGGGATAACGAGCAGGATAACTGATTCGAGCGATAATTAGCCACGAAAAACCAGTTTCTTATTAAATTAATTACTGCCGGTGCCCACTCACTGGTGGTCCTTGTGCGCATTGAGCTGGCAGTCACGGCAGGTGAGTGTGTCACACGTGTCGCAGAAGAGCACCAGCGGCTCGTGCTTGTGCACAGAGCAGTACACGGCGCGCTCCCCCTCCTTCGCCTTGCCGCTGCCTGCGGGAAACGCGGTGTGACACCACCGTGGTGACACCGTGACATCACCGGCGCCCGGCGGGACCCGCTGGCAGAGCCGTTGGCTCTCT